TATATATATATATGGAATGTAATTGGATTATGTTGAACCTACAGGTCCATGTGATCACCCAACTGATAAACATGCTCAAAATAGCGTGAGATAACCTGCTTTGCAAGTTGGCATGTCCATCTTTTACAAGCCTTGTGTGACTTAACGGCATTGCATTCATAATGGGTGCTGTGTGTGTGTGTGTGTGTGTGTGTGTCTTCCTTCATTTGCTGAAGCCTCCACTTTCACCTGTCTTCATCTTTCAGTACCCAGTCCTCTCAATCCCACGCACTTCTGTAGCAATGAAGAATTTCTCCTGTTGTGGTTGTGGGAGGGCACAGAGCTCCACTATATGTCCGTATACAGCTTAGAGCACCGACTGAGCACCCCTCTGTCCACACACACACACACACACACACACACACACACACACACACACACACACACACACACACACACACACCACCTCTATTAAAAATCTTCTCCAAACAAGACCCCCTTTCTCCACTGAAGAGCGACCCTCTGTCTAATGCCAAGTGACTCTCATGGCCAGCATTGACGGTGGGACACTTGCTTCACAAAAGGAGCTGAAGTGTCAAATAAACTCGGTCAGAGCCCCCGACACACAAGAATTCCTTTATCTGGCACCCTGGGAGGCAGACAAAGACAGACTTTGTGTCAGTGAGCAGGCCTTGACTAAACACTGGGGCTTTTTTCCCCCTTACTCCTCTTCTCACAACTTCTGCCTCTTCTTCCTCCGCCTCCTTTTGTTATTTAAACGGCAAAGCGGGAGCAATATCTGACCCCGGTTGTCCAGCATCTGTCCTGCGCATGGCCAGCATCACCCCTTTTCCTGTTTAAGCCCATCAAAAAATAAAGATGCTTAAATGGAAGCCCACGAGTGATCGGATAGACATCAAAGCAGCCATGACGCTTCAGCAAGTGTATTTCTTTTTCTGATTCTTTTGTTTATGTTTGTCATAGCTAAAAATAGCAGGAATTTGCTTTCTCTCAGTTTTCTGTGCTGTCATATGATATGTTTGTGGTGAACCACAGCAAAGAACCATATACACACACCGGGGCAAGACTTAACAACCCTGTATTTACTCCAATCAACGTTTCAGGAGGACCTTGTCATCACTGGCAATTGAGTTTCAGCTTCAAGTTGATTTGTGTTGTCGGGAATATAATACGCTAATCTAGTTGTTTCTATTTAGTAAGATGCAGCTGATGTTTATTAGACGATTAACACCAGTTTACACTCCCTGAATATAAATGTCACCTAAGCAAATCAGGGAGCGCGTGCACGGTTTCTACACTGCGGTCTGAAGCACATTACATATCTAATTACTAGTGATGGGAAAGGATCTCATGTAGCTCCCCATGCTCCTCACAGATCCTCATGTAGCTGTGACAGCCATGTGCATCAGACCCCTAAGAGTGCTATCACAGGCAGATAGTCCCGAGCACCATGCGGTTAAGGTAAACGGATAGAGTTCATGTGGTCGAGCGTGTTAATGGTGTGTTTATGAGCTTAAGCTGAGTGGTGATTTATCATGTCTAAACTCAAGGCCTACCTCAGCTCCCTGGCCCCCGATTGAGCTCACAGGGTGACAACACGCACTGAGCAGCATGACCTCCTGGTGAACTATGACTCAATGTCATGACTGCTTTTGACCACCGAAGAGAAATGGAAGGCAATAGGAACAGTTGTTATTCATTATTACACAAACGGCCCTCAGGATTATCTCATCCTGTCCTCAGGTTCAAAGCTTAAGACGCAGGAAGACATCCTTACATCATTAGTGTCAGATAACGACTTAATGAGCTCGAGAAATACCAGTCTTAAAAGAAAATGCTCCTGGTATCTTTTTATGTAGAGCACCATTTAAACTTTTGTGTGTGTGTGTGTGTGTGTGTTTGAATGGGCCCTAAAGTTTGTCTGAACAGGAGAACTGTCATTTATTAGTAGTGCAGGAACAATGGGGAGCTTGTCTCCGGGGTGGTGGGGGCCGGAGGGGGGGGGGCAGTGGAGCCAGGGGAGGGTGGCCTGAGATTGGGCAGCAGCCTCTGACCAAGAACAAGCCCCTGTCTGATGGAGAGAACTGCTGACCCTTCCTGAGTAAAATGGCACCTTTGTTTCGAGGTGTATGTGTTTGTGTCTATGTGTTTATGTGTGTGTGTGTGTGTGTGAAAGGGAGAAGGAGAGAGCTTTTGAAAAGCTGGAGCGCTTTATAAAGTGTTTTTCTTCTCAGGGCTTTTGGCAATTGTGTCTCCATATGTGCTGTCTGGTGTTTAAAATTTTGTGGTAGGAAGGTAGGAAGAGAGCGCAAACTGAACTGACACAGCAGCTAAACGGTCTAACATCATGTCATGTTTTTCTGAACGGTCCTCTCGTCTTGCTCACAGTTTCAAATTCGCAGAATATTCTGAAGTTTAGAAATCACGAAACGTCCTTCAAGAGCAGTCACATCAGAATGTGTACATAGCTTTTGTTAATAACACTGATAACACCCTGATGCTCTGACACCAGATCACCGCCTTAGATTTATTAGCTGTTTTTGGCGTCTTTTAACAGTCTGTGTGGTGCTTTCTTCCTGTAATGATCTCTCATAAGGGAGAGAAGTTGTTTGTTTTAAACATTGGGGTAAAGAAAAATTAAAGGGTGCAGAGAGGAGGTGTAAATGCTGGTGGGTAATGGCAGCAGATTGCTGATTTCCTAAAGGGAAACCACAACTTAGAAGGTGGCTCGTGTGTGTATATTTGCCTCAGGGTGGTGTTATCCTGGTGTGGGAGTTACCAGGAAGTGTGAGGCTGAGAGAGGCATCCAGCCTGTGCTTAGGTGAGAATGAAGAAGGCTGTTTTAGAGGAAGTAGCAAACCTGGGTGGAGGGGTTTTCTGGAGCGATGCCTGGGAGGTATGACACGAAACCTGACTTCTTTGGTTAAAAATTCCCAGTGCACTTTGTGTTTACCCCTTTTGAAGTTACATAGCTGTCATATAGCCTGTCACTTCCTGTTATGTGATAAAAAACGGTATGTTTCCTGGAACTGTAATTGTGATCCTACTACCCCGTGGGCTTTTTACCTTTTGTGCATAAGAAAAACTGCACTGACCTCTGCAGGAGTATAGAAGATAGAGTGTCAGCCCAAATGTTAAGACCAGAGAGCAAACAGTGAAAATGCTCAGCAGGCCACATTACAGGGGCACCTCTGTCAGCACGGGCAGACAGCTCTCCATTCTCACAGGATGCTCTACGTACCTCAAACTTGTCCCAAAGAGGAACGATGCTAAATAAAGACTCTTACTTTAATAGTAAAACTCAAATACAAACTGATAGTTTGCAGTGTAACAATGATGACACTAGTTTAAAATGCATTTCTTTTAAAACAGACTTAGAGTGGACTTTCAGGTGCATTCTTAACCGTCCTTGTATGGAAAAAAAATCTGATCGAGAGTTAGAAATACTTTAAATTCCTGACATTTCTCCTTCAGTTTTCTTGCTCCTGTTTTGGAAGGAAAATTCCTCCCTTTGTGTTTTGCTCTCATAAATGTCACATTCCACTGAACCTGTGACCACGTTCCTCCTTTACTTTGCTGGGTGTGGGTTGCCATGGCTGTGTTTCAGCGAGTCACACCTACATAAGTAAGACAGAGTGGGTTTCCTTTCTTTTCCAGTTCGGTCTTTCATTCCTCTTTTCTTTTCTTTTGTCTCCAGTCGGGAGGATAAAGGAGACATTTTCAGTGTGAAGAGGAGCGTGAAATTTCCTGTGTGACCTCCCTGGGACACAGCAGAACACCAGGCTCCTCAGACCGCTGTTTATGTGTGTGTTAAGTCATGTGCTCGTGTTGGAGATCCGTGCAATTGTGAAAGCTTTTAGTTCCTTTAAAAGAGATTGAATGTCGTCAACTCGCAGTCGTCTCCACATAAAATGCTTGATTAAGGTTGATTGTTTGATACCTTTGGTTTTCTTGACGCATAGAGGCTCATTGCTGAATTCAAATTTTAGGCCTGATAAGTAGGGGGGCAGATGCTGAGCAGGCCAGTGTGTTGTGCTGTCAAACTATTACTTTGAGCCCTGATAGACAGGGAAGAATTTGCTTGCCAGTGTCACTGAACAGAGTCACAGACTTACCGCACCAAAGTAGTTAAATTGACTGCAAGCTGTCCTCTACTTGGGCTGTCATCAGAAGGCTTCAGTCAAATAAGCAGAGCCATTCATG